TTTTTTTTTCAAACTGTTTCATCATTATTGTCTCATTGATATAACAGTACCAATAACAATATTTTCAAATTCAAACATTTAAAATATGCTTTGATATAAATATTTGTTACAGTATTTAAATAGACAAATAACTTTTCTTGACTGTATCTTTACTGGTTTAAATGTATTATTTTTCAAATACATTTGTGGTATATTTTCACAATTTACAACTTTCACTTATTGTATCAAAAATGGTGAAATTTTGCAGCCCTAAATGCAAACCAGCATTTAAATTCTGCAAAGTTTTCCATATTATAATCCAATGAAAATTCTGAAAAAAAAAGGTTTCATAAAGGTCTCTGAGGCTTAAGCCGTTTTACATTTAAAAAAATTAAAAATCAGGAAACATTGTGATGTCAAATTAATTTAAGAATCTACAAATAAGATAATTTGTGAAACTGATTATGTGATTCCTTTGTACAGACTGTCAACATTTCACTAAAAAAGCTGAAATATAAATGCCAATGACAAAATTGGAATGAGGAAAAAATGCAAAATAGAAGCATTTTCACTTGTGGATTTTTGGACCCCTTTTGTATATTAGTTTATTGAGATATGGAGCTCTCTTATTTATGATATCTTCTCTGTACTGCAAATTGGAAGACTGTCATGAGTGCTGGAAGTGGCAGCAATCTGTCCTTCAAGAGTGAGGAAGAGAACAAAAGCTCGGAAGATGAGACCCCAGAACAACTCGTTCCCCTGAAGAGAGCAAGAAAAGTCTGTTCACACAGGCACACTTCAAGAAGAGGACGTGGTCCAACACAGCCAAACCCTAAGAAGAAATGTGTGAACGGCTTCATTATGTTCTGCCAAATGAACAGACAATTATATATCAGGTGTGTATAAGTACAATTTTTTCTCAACATTAATGATACATCCACTATTAAACCCATCTAAATAAATATATTATTTCGGCATAGATCCTATCCCGGCATCCCCTCTACTACAGTCACTAAAGAGTTAGCCAACAATGTACGTGCCCAGAAACACGAGGCAGAAATGAAGGCAGAACGCTTTGTGCCCAGTCCACTGCACATGTTACTGGCCTATAGAGACAAGTATGCAGCTGTCAAATGAAGGTCTTCACACCTCAGTTACCTGCTGCACTGAGAATACGCTTGAAAGAAAAACGAGCCAAATAGACTATTGATGTTTAAACAACTGCATTGTATAGTTCAATACAGTTTTATTAAGGTTAATCACCATTGTGATTGAACACAATTGCATCTCAGGGATTTTTAAATAACTAATTTATTGTGTTTTAAGTATATTTTTTATTGTTCTACTCTTTTTGTATCATCATAGAGCATATTTACATTTTCAGTGTTTTAATATATACTGTTTTCAGCATTTTTCATTGTGACTTTACATTGTTAGATAAAACATTCAGACTTGTATTACTTATTTATAACAAATGGCAATTGTTAGGTATCTTCATATATTTATATATTTATTATAATGTTTATATTACGCTGTTTTATAGTTGTTGTTGTTTTTTATAGCCTTAACCTAATTATTCAGTAAGAAGCCTTAGAGGAGCTCTAATATGTTTCCCAAGAGAGCTGCCAACCTCATGAAAATTGTTCTGGTTTGTACTGTGCTGTTAATAAACCTTAAATTAGTTCATTTTGTTTGGGTTTTCAAGCTTGCATGAAACCTCCACCAGTAAAAAAGTTCAAAAGAACTGGAACATTGTCATTTGTAAGTTGCTTTATACGTTTCTACATAACCTCTGCCCCTAAATGTTTGTTCATGAAATTAAATACTTGGGTTAATTTGATTAAGCTTTCAGTCACCAATGGCTTCATGTAACACATCTATAAATGTTTACATCCATTCTGCAGATTTTTACCTCCCAAATCAGGGCAAAAAAAGTGTGCCGATATGTAGTCTTTGCTTGCAACCCTGCATTACTCCATCTCTCCAGGTGCCGTGTTTAAAATGTTGCTGATTTTGTGTAGTTGTGCAACTGCACAGAGGGACTCTTCTCTCAGATGTTGGTTGCTAATGCGAAGCTTCAACACCTCTGCCAGAAGAGTCACCTTGTCTCTCTTCTCCTGAATCAGAGGACAGAAGAACACATGGTGCTTGTGAGCGTGTTTGTCCTCTATGAGCGCACGTAGTACACACTTTTCTCATTTATTAACTGCTAAATGAGCCTCACCTTCAGCAGGTCACCACTCAGTCGCCTAAGCATCCCTTCCAGGTGAGAGAGTTGGTCGGGAAAGTCAATGAATACATCACTGCTAAAAAAAAATGAGCATGCAAGGCAATTAATATTCATGTACGCTCTTAAAAATAAAGGTTTCAAATGGGGAGTTTTTGCAGTGATGAACCATTTTGATTTCCCAAAGATCCTTTCAGTGAACAGTTCTTTTAAGAACCATTTTTTTCTTAGTGTGAAGAACATTTAATAATCTAAATAACTTTTTGGGATTAAAATAAACCTTCTGTGGAATGGAAAGGTTCCATGGATGTTAAAGGTTCTTCGTGGAACCATAGATGTATTTTTAAGAGTGTAGTTTTTCAGCAGTTTAAACATTAATTTACTGTTTTGAAAATTAATCCAAAATTGCATTCAATTAATAAAACTATGCCCCACTTACGCCATATCTTCTCCACTGCAGTAGGAGCTGGATTGGTGGATCTTGTAGGGTCCATGTGACGGTGTGTCTGGCCTGCTTGATACAGGACTCATTTCTGACAAAAGGGTTGCCATCCTTTGTGCTGCAAATATATTGTAATCATGGAATCATTTATTTTAATACTACTACTAATAAGTCATTGCATTAAACAAATTATGAAGCCAACTATACAACATATAACTATGTATGCAGTTACAAATGACGGTCTGAATAAAATTATTAATTTATTTGAAGAAAAAACAAACAGATTCAATCAGGAACAAAACAAAAACTGTTTTATAAGCAAATGATTGAACAATTGTTGAAAAATTCTGATTCATTCATTCAGGAACGAATCACCCCAGCCATGTGATGCTTGGAGGCGCTTTATGGTGATTCACTTGGAACTATTTTTGCTTACTGAGTTAAAATTAAAGCATCTGGCAATGTTGTGTCTAAAATGCATGTTAAACTTCTTACTGAACTGTTACATTTAAGTAATATCACAAATTAATATAAATATCACTTTAAGGTATATTCATATATCCACAAAAAATCACCATGGCATTGGGTTAGTTTCAAAAATGTCTCAAAGAAGTATATAAAACAAGACGAATAAGTGGCCGTTCACACAGAATGCATTTTTGCATGCCACTGTGCTGCTTTTCTATATGTGAACACACAATAGATTAACTTTCGTTAACTTTCAGTAGATCATGTCCTCTGTGCTTGACAAAACGTTATAAAAATGTGGCTCAAGTTAAAAGTAGTTAACTTTAAAGAAGTTAAGGTCTCTTGACCTTGCATTTTGTTTTGTTTTGTTCCATTCCACTTCCTCGCGTCTCACGACATAGAAAAATTAAATTACTGTAGTTCAGAGAAAAGCTCTAGAACAGAAGTGTCCAAACCTGTTCCTGGAAGGCCATTGTCTTCTGTCCTGTGTTGGAGCTTAACTCCGCAGGACAGTGGGCCTCCAGGAACAGGTTTGGACACCCCTGATCTATTGCAATTACATACAATAGCAAATGTGGCTTAAATTTAAAAATAGACATTTGGGACCACTGTGTGTGAACAATCTTATCTCAACATATTTATTTGTCCTTTGATACTTACTCTCATATTCTTGGGCTGCTTGAACTAAACTATTCCAGTCGAGATCACTGGCTGTGCTTGGCAGGGACATGAGTTCAGGATCAGGATGCTGGTCTCTGTCCCACAGGTCAGATTCAGCCTGCTCAGGCAATCCTCCACATTCTAGGAAAAGACAACCAGTGAGTGCCAATGTATACTAGAAAAAGCAAACATCTATTTAAGTCAAGGTCATACCAGTTGAGGAGCAACTGATAAAACCAGAATATATGTGAACTGCAACAGAACATATAATTACTATAATAATGACGTTATGCTTCATAGAAGGAATAACTCTTGCCTGTTTGACGTTTTTCCAGGTGGAGATGGATGGGTGTGAGTGCGAGAGACTCTGGGTTTGATTGGTAAGCTTGACTGAATAATGATGGACTTGGGTATGAACCTGACATTCGCAAACTGCTGCAAAGCCCCGCCTCTTTTTGTTGAGGTGACTACAAATAGACAGTAAACACATTGCAACATGGCAACACTGCTCACATACCAATACTCAGCAGAACAATACCTGCTTTTTCACATTATTGTAGGTTGTCAGGTTGTTTAGGGTCAAACTGCTGAATGTGAGCCAAATAAATCACATACTGAATCACCCTGAGCGCTGTCCTGTGTGTCATCCATCACAATGAGTTTTTTCAAGTCCTCCACCACTGTGCTCTTGCGAACAGGCCGCGGGGAACATGCTGCTCGCAGTGATGCGATCACTCGAGGCTGACCAAACACATTCTTTGAGTTCACATTCACCTGACTGGAAAAAAAAAAGTGAAACCAGTGCAAAACAAAGTACTAAGAAAATTTGTTTCAGATGATAACTTGTATTGATTTTTTGACATGTTAGAAAACGCAGGTCAAGTTAAAAGTAGTTTTAACTTTAAAAAAAGTTAAGGTCTTTTGACCTTGCATTTGAATGTTTTTTTTTTCATTCTATGAGTAGAATGATGCATAGTGTTCATATGTATTTTTACTTATGTGTCATAGTGTGACCAATCAGAATCAAGTATTCTAATGAGAAGTGAAGTAACTGTAAAGTAGTAACTGAACCTAAATTGTGCTTGTGGTAGCAGCAATTTTAAAAGCATTATTACTATTTGCACACACTAATATACAATACTATCAGCTATGAAAATAGTACATAAAAAATAATAAGAATACCCTATCAAGATCTGCTATCCTCTTACCTTTTTACATGGTTGTGCTCAGTGTTTCTAACATCACCGGTTTCTCTATGTTTTGTGTACTGTGTCTTCTTTTGTTTTGGGCTGCAGTCAGGTTTAGCTGGGCTGGTTTGAGGTTGACATGACCGGTCAGGGTCACCCTGAGATGGTTTAATGTCAGTGTCAACACTCAAGCTAAATCTCTCATGAGTTGCCTTTTCCAGTTTTGAACAAGGCATTGCAGGCTGGTTTGCTCTAAACTGACGTTCAGGGAACAGATGCACTGTGTTAATAGAAAGATGAACCTTGGTAGAAATATCCTCAGTGAATAAATTCTGGCTCTGACTCCAGACAGGTTGGTCATGTCTAGGAGGTTTTCTATTGGGTTCTATTGGGAGACAGTCCTCTCTTAGAAGGAGTTGGCTGAAGTGCTCTTTGTCCGGATGATTTGAGGTTGGTGAAGTTTGAGACACCACAGCTCTCATCAAAGGAGGCTTTTCCACCACAAAAGTTTGAACTTTTTGTGGTTTAGAACACAAAGGGCTGGCAGAAATAAAACACAAAGACCACAGACACACATATTGTTGACACATAAAAACAAAGAATAAGGTAAGCTGTCCATACAATGCAAACGGACATACACTGCAAAAATAAAGACAGATCCATTTTAAAAACATAAAAGTCATTTCATTACAAT